TAATTAGCACTGTATATGAGAATATTTAGATTTTTGTTAAATATTTTAATTTCTCTCCAATTTTCGAAATTCGTATTATGTGTGTGTATAATATTTTTTTTTAAATTTGTAAACCGAAATAAAAAAATTATGAACTAAATTTGCCGCCCCTTAAAATTTGCCGCCCTAGGCTCCAGCCTACTCAGCCTGCTGGTAAATCCGTCACTGATTCGCTATAAATGCGAGTATGAAAAAGACTGGCTTTCTTTCACTTGCAAACACTCCGTGATAGACGCCGCCTGAATAACATTATCTTTGTTTAGAAAATTTTGAATAACTTTAGAAATGAATGAATTTGAATGGGAAACGCAAGAAACACATCAGTCCTTTTTTGCGTTCGACCAAATGTCACGTCGGTTGTAATGCCGCATTTATGTATTAAAGTATCGCGTTTACACACTCGTCCTGCCCACGTCCCTGCTCACTACAGCTGAATGTAAAACTGGTATAATGCTCGTCTAAACAGATCTCTATCTGCAGTAAACGATGCTTTGAAGACAAGCTAGGCCTTTTTATGAAAGTCTCCATATCTTTAGGCGTAAGATACTGCAACCATTGTTATTCCGTCAGAAATAACAATTGCAAATAAGAAATATATGAAATTATTAATTGCATTAAGTAATTTAAATTTGCGTTCCTTAGACAATCTAATTCTTGAAACTCCTACTCATAAAACTGAATTCAATCATGCTTTCATGGCAGGATACTGTGCAAAGTATCCTGCCATGGAATTCCTTACCAGTTATTGATATCTGCTCAGTCTTTAAATTTATTTAAAAATCTTCTTTTTGATCATTTTTTTCTGCCTCGTAATTAGCTACTACTTATATATTATATTAATTGTGACTCAGTTAACTTTTGGATTAGCTTTTACATTTTTATTTATTATTATTTTTTCTTTAGATTTTATTTTATTTTAGTTATAGTTACCTGTTATTTTTAGTTTTTTTTGTTAATTAATTATTTATGCACTTCTTGTACTTTACCCTCTGTAGGTGTTTCTTTTTTATTGTTTCATATCAGGGAATAGGGTTGCCTGGAAGAAATCGCTTCTTAGCGATAAGGCCGCCCGTTGCCTTATAACATATGCTTGTAACCTGCTTTTTTATTTTTTTTATATGTATGTTTTGTATAAGGTAACAAAGTGTAAATAAATAAATAAATATTTCTAGTTTATTGTCGTTTAATTTAATTGAATTACTTCTGTTCACTTTTATAATTGTTATATTTTCTTTAAAATGTTGTGCACACTTGTCATTGATACCTACACATACATGTATTGTGTTTTCGTATGTCGTGGCTTCTCTGTAAGTGACTTGTATATATTTCGTTAGTGTGTCTTTTTAAAATAAGTAAATAAATAAATTATTTGTGTCCTATTAATCTTTTATGTACGCCTTTTTTGTTAATTGGTTATTTCTTCAGATAAATATATAGAGTAGAGACGCGGTTTCGACACAAGTGTAGCATATAGGATTATAAATTAAAATAACTTTCAGATCCAACATTCGATTATTATAATCAAAGAAAAATAACGTAAACACTTAAATTGTCTTTATTATAATAAAGCTAAACAATAGGTAACTTTTCTACTCAGTGATAATTTGCTCAGATTTTGGCTAAAACGTAAATTAATTTCCACACGGAAATATTAAGAATACCTGTTTAGATTTTTCAAATGAGTTCAAATAAGCTATTAATTTAATAGTAGCAAGAGTTGTGAATTTTGTCTATAGACACGCTGATGCAATTTAAGGAAAATATGTGTTACTTGTAGTATATTAAGGAAAACTGGAAAAACAATAAGCCGCTTTGTTGTGGAAATGAGTCATTGTCTCAATGGGTGCATTCAACTTAAATGCGACATATTAGTTATTAATTGCATAAATAATTTCATAAGGCAGATTTTGCCGCGCACCACCACTATGTGGAATCAGCTGCCCGCTGAAGTATTTCCGGACCAATTCGACTTAGGGTATTTCAAGAAAAGAGCGTACCAATTCTTAAAAGTCCGGCAACGTACATGCGAGCCTTCTGGCAATTAGTGAGTGTGCATGGGCGGCGGTATCAGATGAGCCTCCTATTAAGTACATAAAAAAAAAGGGTCCGTGTACTTATGTACGCGCGTAAGAAGTTATACTTCTTTGGCAATATTAAAAATAGTTTGGCTTTGTTCCACCTCCAGTTTTTGATGTTTCACAGCGATAAGATGAAAACTCTTTTTTTGTATTCAATTTAGTGCAGTGTACGATTTACACATTACACAACTAATCATAACATATAAACATTTAATATTAAAATTTGTGTATCACCTTGTTAGTCTTAAGTTCATCCTCCATTTTACTAACCCTCATCTTTTCCTCCCCGGGAACATGTACGATTTACAACCGTACAGGTATTTGCAATGTAAATGACACCATGCAATATGATTTGCTTGTGTGTTCATTTACATTATATCTTATTATATTCACTTAAGTTAGTTCGCATTTAGACCTCGTGCCGGGCGCGACTCTTAATCTCATCTCACCCCACTAGTTTAGTCCATTGCTCATAAAATAAATAATTATCGCATTAAATATCTTAATAATTTATCCCAACCCCGAACAGCAGTTACACTGATTCATCAATTGTTTTTTGTCTCTTTTCCTTATATTTGCTAGATAAAATCAGAAAAATTACATGTTTTGATTAAACAATGTGGTTAATTTTTTAATCAAAACATTACTCGATAATAATAATAATACATACGGATAGTTAACCTCAATTGTATTGAAGCACTTAGGAAGGTTGATGAGCACAGTTTTTTCACAAATATTAATTAGTATTGGTTTAAATATTCAATTTAAATCACTTCTGATTATAATTCAAAAAGCATCGCTAAATTTCTTTGAAAAAATAATTAAAACTCCTTTATTTGTTTAAAAGGTAAATGACAAATGTCATTATTGGTCATTCAAAATTGTTGGCATACGAACTTCACGCATATTCTATTTCTTTTTACTTGTAGATTGTCTTATTCCTATCTCGCTCGCGCACGCTATAATCACACTCCTAATTTTGTGTCACGGGTGCGCGCGCATTGTAAAATTTCACTCTCATAAATTTTTCATAACGCGCCTAAAGAAGTATAACTTCAAAAAGGAATAACATAAGTATACGAAAGAAATAATTTATAGACAAATGGTCCTGTTAATTCAATTATAATGTATTCTGAAAGCGAATATCTACCTGTGGGGGTTTCCTCACGGTAAACGAAGGCGTTTTCCTTATTTACCAATCACAAGTAATTTAACACGTTCGTTGCATTACGAGATCTAACAGATCTCTTGCAGGACTTTTGTATTGTGCGTTGAACATAATCGTGTTTTTCACTCCTTGCGGGAGGATCTAACTTGTAAAGTTCTTTAAGTATGAGCAGGACAAATATATATATATTCTTCCTACTTAAAGCTGAATTAAAGGACATTAAAAAATAAATTAGAGATGGATTAAGTCCCTAACGCACAGTACTGTAATTGTTTTAATTCCTTGCGTTAGGAGATATGTCGGTACTCGTAAAATCGTAGGCCTCGTAGACGCAAGAGAGGGAGGATGGGCGACGCGGGCGCTGCGTGACTCTTTTTAGTGTTGTTCAGAATCGACATGGGAAGTCGATAAAAATGTTGGAAAATGTCCAAATTTGCCCCCCATTGGCTAATAATAATGATTCTAATTATGAAATATTTGACGTACCTACAAAGAAAACGATGAACCTTTTTCGTTAGAGCACACGCAGTTAAACAGCACTGACGCTTCTAAAAAATCTAAACGAATTGTTATACTTTTGCGCGTAATGTGCAAGCAATCAATGTGCTTACCATGTTTAAATGAAAAACACTTTGCATAATTAATAAAACTTTTAGAATCGTTAACTGAGATATTATTTTATTCCCATCACTACTTACTACACATATTGAACTATCTTCGGGTGCGGTACGAGATAGAATCGATATCTATTTTTTTTTTGGTATTTGTAGTTTATTCAAATGTCGTAACTGCGTGCAAACCTAGCAAAATATAAAGCAATATTATATAAATTTCACCCACAAAAACTTAAAAATATATGTCATTGTTTTTTTGGAAGATATAAATTATTTTCAAAACTGTATGTTTAGGAGACTGATTAGATCTTCAACGCACCAAAGGATAGGCTTGTTACGAGATCTTTTAGGTCTCCAAAGCACCAGCTGAAAGTTCTTTGAAAATGATGACGCAGTGAACGTGTTAACTCCGACGAACGATGTTATGAAGGTGAATAGTTAATTGGCAAATTTTCTCTACTTTCTTTAAATTTGAAATTAACTCATCGCTATATGTAAAACTAAACTCATTTACATAAGTTAATAACATACAAGTATGTACTTGAAGATTTTCGTAGATATCCAGGGTTCGCTTTATATACCTAAGTCTACGAACAATGGTTAATGCTATGATGTTAAGGAAAATGTTCGAAGTCGATAAGGATAGTCTGTTGAACCGGTGACATTATATACACATATACATATTAATTGTAAACAAAAACTACTTCTGACCGGTTTTACTTGAAAGGTAATCAGTAGGTACAGGGTTACTCGATACCTATCTTTATATTTTAGCCCGATTCCAGATTTTAAGTTGAAGCGGTGTATTTTAGTTTGTTAAGATGACTTTTTTAAAAAGGCTCATTAGATAAATTATATCTGTCTGAATTGGTTTGTAGCGTACTGTTTATAAGCTAAAAATCCGCAACTGGCTTAAGAATGTATTTTTTTCAAAGTAAGTATAACAATTAATAAATGCATTTATGATGTGGACAAAAGTAAGTAAAGTCCTGAAGTATTTATGTACCCTAATTTGACGAATACCTGTGCCCTCAGAATTGCAACTCAATTTACACTTCGCTATATAAGCGATATTTTCACAACGCCACTCAGTTGAGGAAAATGTGGCGTATCGTGCTAGTGTGTTATGTGCTCGTCTGCTCAGCTGCACACGATCATAAAGATGACCACGACCACGTACTAGGTGGAGACGGCCACAAAGGTCACGGGCATCACAATCATGGGCATCATGACCATGATATTATAGGTGAGTCGAATGAAACGTGTTTTTGATAAGAGTAAAAAAATAGAACTGCCCCATTTGAGTCAAGACTCAACATTTTGTTTTATTTAGTTTAAATAATGAACAGCCATTTCTAATATTTTGTAATTGGATTTCTCACCCAGAAATAACATTTAAAATTACGCCGAATTAACTTGTTCGTATAACTAATTAATATTATCAGATGGTCGCCCGGTGGTGCGCAGTCCGTCAGGTGAGTTTCGCGGAGGCTATAATGTAACAAGAAAAGGACGTCAGTTTGAGACTTACCGGGGTATTCGCTACGCCGAGCCCCCTGTCGGAGAACTTCGGTTTCAGGTACCTGAATTTTTGCTTTATGTGGTAATAATACAGTGGCTCATTATGCAGGCCAGTTGTTGCGTATCTTACTTTACTTATTTGAACAGTCAGTCAGTAAACATCTTCCTTTCAAACTAAAATATTTAGCTAATTGAAATAGAGTCTATAAATATGTTTTTGATCAGTTAGGTAATATTTTAGTGTTTATTGTCGCATATGCTGTGCTTTGCAGATATAGTCAATATCTGAACATGTGACACTAAGATATCGTCAACAAATTAAAATTACACGCGTCTCGCAAACATCTGTCTCAATGCATTTCTCGATTCATATGCTTGAAATTGATTTTCAGCCACCTCGACCGATCACCCACTATCCCACACCAGTAGACGCACGCTCAGATGGACCCGCTTGCCCCCTCCCGGCATCTCCCACATACCCTGTCGATGAGGACTGCCTCACCATCAATGTATATACGCCTCTCTTCACCGATAGGTAAATATAGAAATTGTTAATTTCATTAACGCAGTTTCAGTAGCAGTAGTAGCCTTCGGCACGATGCAGAGCTGCAGCTAATCGATACCTAAATGTTATTTTGTGTTGACATCTTGAACAGAATCAACAACATACAATAACTAATAAAAAATAATGCACAAAACTCTTTGCTGTGAAATGCGCATGTGACCCCGTCTTGTTCTACTCATTACAGGATTATTGGTTACTTTTTTCAGAAAAAAGCCTTTGCCGGTAATATTCTTCATCCATCCGGGCGGCTTCTATGTTATGACGGGTCGTTCAGATCTCGCGGGACCGCACTACCTCTTGGACAGGGATGTCGTTCTAGTCACCATCAACTATCGCCTCGGCTCACTTGGTGTGTTTTATTGACGTTTACTTTAGAAATAGGTTACATTATTAGAAATAATATCTAGGAAATCTGTTTCAACTGTTTTTACTGTACCTGCAGGTTTGGTCTAGCGTGGTAAACGGGAAAAACAAAGTAAATTTGTATATGGACTTGATTGTTATAATACCAATGTATAAAAAACCGTTGACCGTGACTTAACGTGTCTAGACCAAATGCGTAGGGAGTAAAGGTTGATCCATAGGCCTAAGACAAGGGTTGCTTTGCTTGAATAAATGGCATTACAGGATTCCTCAGTACTGGAGACGCAGTGGCTCCGGGCAATAACGGCTTTAAAGACATGGTGGCAGCCTTGCGATGGGTCAATCGGAACATTCGGGCCTTCGGAGGAGATCCCGACAAGGTCACGGTGGCAGGATGTAGCGCAGGATCCATCAGCGCCATGCTCATGATGGTATCGCCCATGGCCACAGGTATTTATAATAATAAGAATTGAAACACATACAAAACTAGCTTTACAGTTTACTTAAGATTAATGCGGTAGCAAGCAATTTTCAAAATCAACAGTTATTTTAAAGTTTGTTTTACTTGTCTATATTTACATCATTTAAAGTAGCAACTAATTATCATCAAAACTTAACATAACCGGGTATAATATCATGGTGTAAACGACCTATGTCTAAAAACTTCAGAACATTCAGGTTTGGTTTACAAAATAATGACTACCTGACAGGTCTATTTCACCGGGCAATATCGATGAGCGGCTCCCCTTTGGGAAAAGTGCCTCTGCCTAGTGAGCAGCGCCACCTGGCGGTTCGTCAGGCAGAGCTGCTCAATTGCCCGACTCATAGCTCACAAGCTATCGTCGATTGTCTGAAGACTAAGCCTTGGAGGGACCTAGGGAACTCGCTCTATGGATTTTATGTAAGGATTTTTAATAAATAAAATACTTTCTGACATAGACATGGATAATGTCGCGTGCTCGACGATCGGTGGTTTTAAATACTGAATAATCTAAAGGAATTCGGATTCGACCCAGTGGGTATCTGGACAGCCGTGGTCGAACCCGACTTCGGGCAGGAAAGGTTTCTCGCATCTCAGCCCGATGAGGCCATCCGAGAGAAGAAATTGTATGCCGTGCCTCATCTCGTCAGTCAGACACAGGACGAGTTCTTTTGGATGGCATTCAGTCAGTACTACACCGTTTACTAACCTCTAGTACTTTCTATACTTACCATATGTTTCAAAACTCACTAACTTTTTAGCCGTGACTCGCAACGACACCCTCCGAGAGCAGATGAACTCCGAGTGGGAGAGAGTGGCCCCTATCTCCTTCCTGCTCCCGCGAGACAACGCCGAAGTTCCGACGCGCACCCTTCGTCGGGTGTATCTTAAGAACCGTCCTCTAAAGAACGATGAAACCAGCGCACACGACCTCGGAAGACTCTACGCCGACTCTGTTGAGAGTTTTCCTGTCTACAGGTATTTAGTTGTTGGTTCGACGGTTGGCCACGCGTTAACTATTAATGCAGTGTGAATTTTTTAATAACACGGTATTAAAAGCATCATAAGGCAGGCAAATAATAGAAATGGCGTCATTTCAGATTGGCGAGGCTGATGACCCTGCATTCGCCGCGACCCGTTTACGAGTACGAGTGGGGCTACATCGGGAACCACAGCCATTACGAGGACCCCAAAACTATGAAACCCCTAGGTAAAACATAAAGTGGAATCCTACGGATACTATTTTTTGTAGTTTAATAACCTGTCCTGACGCGCTTCACGCTAAAAGTTTTCAATGCCTCAGATGCATTATGGATACGAGACAGAGCCAGTTACAATTTTTGGGCTTATAAACGTAGCACATAATGATGCTTCATGTTTCAGGAGCGGCACATCACGATGAGCTGATCTACCTGTTCACTCTGCCTTACCGATTCCCTGCCATTGGCCTCGAAGGCCGCGACGCCGTCATGGTCGACCGCATGACTGCGCTCTGGTTCAACTTTGCCAAATACGGGTAATCTTATGACCTATAATAGAAACCGTGCCGAAGTATGTACAAGTTACGGCACCTTTACCTCTCACTATTTTCCGTAGTAATTATCGAACCTAGGACCCGGAGTAAAACGCAACAAACTAACAAAGTACATGATCGGATGGTCCTATACGTGCATAAATATATAATTATGTTTTGCTGGCAGAGACCCGAATCCTCAAGGTGACACGCCAGAGTTGGGCGAATTGGTCTGGCCCAAGATGACGTCACACGACATGACGTATCTGCGCATCGACAACGACTTCTCCCTGAGGAAGGACCTGTTCAAGGATAAAGTCGGAGTGTGGGATGAATTGTATCCTATGAAATATTAATGACACAAGCAGTCAATTCTCCATCTAAACCATATCGCGGCCTAATCGAATGTGTAAAGCGCAACTTATTCTAATGTGGTCTAATAAAGTAGCAGCCAAAGTCAATTTGATATACCTTTTAAAACCAATAAACGCATATTCAAAGTTTTGTTTTTTTATAAGATAGAAAAACATTTACTTTGACGATTTTGATGCGTATAGTAAAGAGATCTACAACATTTATTAGTCCTACCTACCTATAATTTAATTAATACCAAATTTTTTATATATTATTAACTATAACTTTAATTTAAAAGTTCTATACTATCTACATATCTACACATTCTATAATTATCTTTAGAATGCTCTTATTAAACATAGAACTTATATCTTAATAAGTAAGCTTTTTGGGGTAAATTTACTAAATAAGTATAAAAAATAAATGTTAACTAGGGCTAATTAAGCTTTTTAAATAGAAAACGTTGGTTTTGGCATCAGATAGATATATATAGATATAGAAATATCTATCAGATAGATATATCTATATCAGTTTCCTTTTTAAAGTTCTTTATAGGCGTTACAGTGATCAGCCTTCTGTGGCTAAGCTATACATAATGTTAGACGAGTATAATTTCTCACAGCACCTATCTTACATAACATCTGTCATCTTGCCTTGTCACTGTCAATGTCCACTCACATACACTTAGTACTGAATAAGCCTTAACCACTCTCACTGTTTTCGATAAGTCGTACAACACCTCCGAATAATAGTCCTTTCTAAACCAAGATTAGGAAAGTGGCTCCTAATCTTGTGGAGTCCAATACTGCTAGTCATGTCTTCCGGTGAGAAGATGTTCCCGAAGAGTGCATATCTCTCTGTCGACGTTTTCCCTCGCGGCGCTTTCGAAGCATTCAAATTCCGGGGTCTGGTAGATCTTCGGCACTTGGATCAGCTGGTTCAGGATCTGACATTAAAACGATTACGGTGAGGACCTACAGTGGCCATCTTTATTGTTAAGAAATAATCAAATAAGTTAACAAGGATCGTGTCAACTAATTCACTAAGTTTGTAGGGCTACGAAAATTATAATAGAAATCGTCGTGTTGTGTCATTAGTGCAAAGAAAACTTGTGCTAAAATGTACTAATAAAAGATAAGACTTTAAGTGAGTACAACGGAAATTTTTAAACGTTATACAACTTGAGAAATCGATATGTTTGAGAAACAGCGAATTCCAAGAGTAGCCGAAGTAAAAGACCTAGGGGTTCGTGGAACGTGGAATGAAATTTTCGGAATAACATAAAAATAATTTGTAAAAAAGCTTATAGGTATTTAGGATTTATTTTGCGTATAAGCGATAATGGCATTGTATAAGCTTAATTAAGCAACACACCATACCTTGATTCTGAGCTCCACGTAGTGACGAGGAGCCATGGCGCTGTAGGCGGCCCTCTGCCTCTTGGCGTGAGCCTCGTACTCCTCTCGGGACGCGGCCAGCACTGCGGTCTCGCAGTCACCGAATAGCAGCAGGTCTCTTTCGGATCAACCACAGTTAAACTATCCGTCTCATGCGAAATATAACGAGTCTGACGCGATAGTTACCTGAGAGGAGCGGTGTACTGAGAGTCGTTTGCGTTGCACTCGCACCAGGGGGAGTCGTCCGTCAAGAGGGAGACGATGTACGACGTGAGCTCTTGCTGAATTAGGGAAAGCGTCTTTTTGATTGTCAAATCCAGAATGTTATACATATCGTCCTTAAACATTAATTGACAGGCTTCAACGTAATAGTGAAAGGAGTGAATAATGTTAATATTAGTCGAAAAGCAACAAGAGGCTAAAGTACGACGCTCACCGCCTGCGGGTGCGTCCTCAACTTGTCTGCCACCAGCTTGAGCGCCAGCTCGGGCGGCGTGTGCCGGAGCACGACTGCGAGGCGGAAGGCGGCCGGGTGAGTGGCGTCCTCCATCCCTTTGAGCACCAGGCCTTGCCAGACCCCGGCCTGGTAGGCCACGCAGTTGGTGAGCGAGTGCCACTCGGAATCCGGCGCTGAGGCGGCCGAGACTTCTGCCCAACCGCGGTCTGCGTGCGCCGCGCGCAGTGTCGCGCACGCCGAGCGCCACATGCGAGAGGCCGCGCAGCCTTCGTGTTCGCCTAAACGACCCGCTGTTATTTTATTGACTGACGGTAATCTTCATACTTAACTTATAATTTGTGTATTTTGTCATTATGCAAAGTAGCCAACTTTCGCTTTTTGACAATTTAAGGTGAACGGGGTTGATCTTTTTTGCAAAAATTACAGGTTAATACAACTGACGTTTAATAAGTGCGAAAGTGCTACATTAAAGTAGTGTGCGAAAATTAACCTAACGTACGTAATGACACCAGACACTAGTTCTGTGATCGTTGTTTTTTTATGGAAACTCGCTGTTGGCCTGAAGGGCCTTGACAGCTCAGCGAGAATCAGCTTTGAATGTCGGAATGGGCTTTTTCCTAGGTCTTCTCCTCGGCTTAGCCGATTTGCTTGGCCGCGCGGGCGGCAATCCTTTTGTTGACAGCTATCGTCATTGGATCATCCCGATCCGTTAAGACTTGTCGGGGCCTCATACCGGGTTTTTTTTCGGGAAGGAGGGGTCGTGATCGTGGAATGAACGAACCATTTTGAAACCTGTTTTTTCCGTCAAAAACGACATTGTATATAATTCAAATGAAATGATCAATTTAGACATTAAGCCTTTTTGCGGAACCGACCGAATCGCTGTATAGCCGAATATTTAATGAGTGGGTTATACTCGCTTCAACAGTCTCAGTCAGGGTGCGTATGCACACCTAGGCCTTGAACAGTGTAGTTCGCCCTGGAGAAATCGAAGTCTGTTGCACTCTCGACATACTCTAGAAGTGATGCTGTTATAGTCCAAATTAGTTCTAGAGCCCAAACAAAACATCGTTATTCAACAGAATAAAAATAAATACATTAGCACTGTTAAAACCTGTTTAACATAATATGTATCTATGTGTAGATTTTTATAAATGATTCATATAAATGTACCACTTTGTTGCAAATAAATGATTTATTATTATTATTAAACTAGACCAACTAAGAGAAAATATTAAAAATATCTTAAAACAGATTTAATACATTAAAAAGGTCACAGGTGTCTATGATGATGTCTATTTTTGTTTATAGCTGAGCACCTTAAGGAATTCAGAGGTTGTGCATACCTCATCATCAGATAAATTGAGATATTCATATTCATAGCTCTGACTGATCAGATTCTTCTTTAAACTGAATCACATAAAGAAATGTTGTTTACTGAAAAATGTTAGCAGAAGCAGATGTGCTTCAACTAAAACAACTTATATTGTGATTTTTTAAAATCATTCTTTTAATTAGAAAATTAGAGCTGAGTGTGACATTTTCACCATCTTTTTTAGCTTCTACTAAAGTCATGGTGTAGTTTTTTTTAATCTTTAAACTTCAAATCATTTTGACCCTTACCATATTTTTTATGTTTGTTTTTTTAAGAGAGAAAAGAGAAAATTATTACAAGCATTAGATAATAGCAGATAGTTGCTCCAATGTTACAATGAATGCCTTCCAAGAACTACAAGTTCAATTAAAATCCAAAGTATTTACAAAGTTGTACTTTGGTTTGAGAAAATAAATATTAAAACCTAAACAAACCTAATCTACAAAACCCAATACATATTTAATTTCGGGAATCTGTATTCTGTACACTTCTTTCATTCCTTCACTTCAAAGTTTTTAAGCCTTAAACTGACACCTATATACCTATATTTTTATGGGAAGAATTATCGAGGAAATGTTTCTAAAGATTCAAGGAATGCATAAATGACCACAAAGCATTGTCTATTTTTTTACACACCTTATTCATTAATTATCCAATCATTGTAACTCATTATTTACTGCCAATATCTAATATTCTATCTAATATTTTCTGAAAAATTATGATATTCTCTGGGTGTGACTTAAAAAAAAAGTATTATAATTTAAGTAAATATGTCAAGTTGAATGCTTGTATCTTTCATTAGCAAGTTTTTTCTTTAACTAAAATCTTGTCTGCGGTGAAATTTTATTACCTGGCATCCACCAGGAATTCAATGCAACTCAACTAGAGTACTAAGCGTTTGAACTTTCAACTTTATGGCATCAGGTATGATTACCTTTCAATAACTCAACACGGGTCCACCAGTTTGCCATTAGTAATTAGTATCGAAGAGTAGCGTAGCACGGTCTGCACTCTGCACTAGATGGAATAAAAGTTTGTTAGGGAGGGATGCTACATTAATAAACACAACCAATATTTTGTCTAACGATTACTTACAACACTAAATTTGTAAGTTGATTCAAAATTCAAATAAATATTGAACACAGAAGATTTATATGAATTAAAAATTGATTTATTCATATAGATTATAGTACTATGTACACTAAACTAATGAGTAATGAATTATGAAAGTATTGTGTTTACAAATAGTGAACACTGAACCACAGACTAAAATATTTGCTCATAGCTGTGTAATGATGAATAAACATAAAGTGCGTTTTCCAATTACAGCACTAGAGCGCATTTTGCGGCATAATGCTCAACGTCGAGTGTTCCAACTACAGAAACGCTTCGCACAATTGAGCACTCTCAAAACGAATGCTCTCGCGAGCTTCTCGCAAACAATACCAACAAAGTGACAGAAAATTGACCAGTATTTTTCTTTAAGTTGGCATTTATCGAAATTTTCGTTAGTAAATATTATTTATTGTTGAAAAATTTGTAAGGCTTTCGTTTCGTCGTAGATTTTGAAAATAATTAAAGTTATTTCAAACTGCTAAAAAAAAAATATTAGTATGGATGATAAATAGTTACTTTTTTTATATTCCACATTTAAAATATGAATACAATTTTATTTTAAAATTCGGATCTGTAAACAAATTAATTTTACAGGATTATACTTTAGAAAAAATTGCAATGGTTTTGAAAAAGTATATAATTTTTTTAGAAATCATTAAAAAATATTACTCAAAACGTAAATGATGTAAACTTCTTACATGAAACTAAATATTTTACTGTTAATTTAGCTTGTTAAAACCTTATATGTATTCTTTAAAGGTTTTCTATTATTTCAATAAAAAAAATGTTAATGAAATAATTTGATGATAAAAATAAGCGTAAAAAGTTTTCAATCAATTATTATTGTTTACCACATTATTTATACATTAATGAGGTTGCTAACTCAATTCATAGAAATTCAAAAAAAATTTTACAACACTGATTTAGCGCACTCTGCTGATGCATTTGAAAACTAATTCACGTTCCAATTAAGCTTCAGCGTTATGCGGCATTGTGCGGCACTGAGTCGAAAAATGCTCTGTAATTGGAAAACGCACAAAGATAGTTCTATAAATTGTGTGATGGCGACTAATATATATGTATGTAATGTATATAATATTGTGGAAGTGAGTAAAATCATTTTATTTATCTTATTTTCTATAATGGGGACCCGTAATGGTTTTATGTTTTAAATGCAGTTTTATAGTCCTTGAGAAACTAAAACTTAAAGTGCAAAAATTTTTGTTCTATGACCAAAACTGACAAAGTTATGGGCAAAATACCTAACAAGGTTTACTGACCGCGCGAATGCAAGCGATGACGTCACAAGATCCCAACGCTTGCCGCCGAACCACAGCGCGCCCCGCGCTGTTTATTCTGTTCGCGATACTCGTCCAACACGGAGCGTAACGTTAGCGGTTTATACCCAATCGATTAATAAGTGATTTGATTTGTTTAATATTAGAAGGTTGTTATTATAATATAACAAATGAGTGGTAGAAATAAGGTTAGTAGATATCGGTTTTAAGCAAGCGTAATCCGATAATCTACCTAAAGTTGATACCTTCATGGTATTTGATTATCTTAGTAATCATTTAAACTACACAAGCGCTGAAATTCGTGGTTGGAAACTTCAGAGGTAAGCAAATCTCATTATCAAACTAATCAAAACAGCAGGATAATAAGTAGGTAGGTACACATACTTGGACTATCCTATAAATTACCCAAAAGTTTTTTTTTAGTCATTTAGGTTAGTCAGCCAGGGCAGTTGTGTTTGTTGTTTAATTACCTACGCCGTTATTTTCAACAATAAAGGGTAAAGCTTATTGCTGCACATTTACTTGTAATGAAACACAATAAATAATATTAAACATTGAGTGTCATGATTGAGCTGCTCAACTGGGAGGTTGTAAACACGGTGTAGCATTTCTTATGTGGCTTCACAGACGAAGCGAGGAACCATCTCCAACAGAAAAAAATTGTTATTGGGCTAAGATATACTTTTAAATAAACAGTCCTGCAAATTGACAATACCACAGGCTATTGCCACTATATCATCCAATAGTTGAATATAAGAAATGTTGACAGTTGCATGAGGTCCAACCATTTGAAAGTCTCTTAATCTTCCAATGCTTCTTTCAACATGTACCCTCAACGCAGCAATCTTCTTTGTTTGCAACACTTCCTCTTTTTTGGGTTTTGAGCTTGAACTCACACTAGGTGGTCTTAAAAGCTTACACTGTTTTTGTTCTAATAAATGGGCTATATTTTTGAATCCTCTGACCGCCAAAACCAAACTCCCAGGTGTGAGTTCATCTAGAAACCCACAATCTTCAAAGATCGTGGAATCTGGGGTACGCCCTCCATACCCCTCAAAAATAAAATTAATCATAGGTTCAAAAGATACTTTATTTCTCAAAGAATTACATTCACTTAGCGAGAAAATTTAGAGTAACTTAGTTATGTACATCGTGTTATAAAATTATTTGAAAATACACTATAATATAAAATAAAAATATTAGTTTGTAACAATATGTACCATATTTGTTACAAAAGTGCAGGTAGGTCGCATCGATGTTACAACAGGCATTATGTGACAATGAATAGTTCGCAGACATAAGTAAATGCTAGAATAGCCTTTTTGATGTTTTGTAAATACATTAATTATTCCATTAATTCATATTAAACTTTGACGATTGTTACAGACACAGATATAGATATTATGGTTGTTATTATTTTTGTTATTTTATAGGTATGTTGTTAATTACATGTACTTTTAAAAGTTTTTTAAATTTGTAACAAGGGTTTATTTCTTTTAATCTGGGTGGCAATGTATTAAATATTTGTGCGCCTTGATACATAATATTAAGTTTTCCGTAATTAGTCCTTGGTTGTATTAAACATAATGTATCAATATTTCTTCATGAATATTTTGTATCTGATTTTTGTGTAAAGGATAGATTTGTATGAATTAATTTGTTAATAATTTTGTATATTAAAATTGAGGTATTGTAAACGTATGTCTGGTTTATACTCATAAATTTGGTATCACTGTATAGTTTTTCAGTTGGAGTCAAATAATCGTAATAGAATAATGTCTTCAATAATTTATTTTGCATAATTTGTATTTTATAACGATTTGTAGGCGCTGCAGTGCCCCATAATTCGATTAAGTAGTCTATATGTGGCTTTACCATAATATTATATATAATGAGTTGGACTGACTTTGGGAAGCAACGCACACTGCCACGCAGCACGCCAAGAATAGAAGATAGTTTGGATTTAATTATGTCAATGTGCGGCTTCCAAGTTAAACGACTATCCAATACAACACCATCAGGTGTAATGGAAAAATCATACCATCAGGTGTAATGGAAAACAGAAATTTAATGGTGTTGCAATTTTTGTATTGCGACCAAGCTATTGCCTGGTATGTGGCATTACTTGGTTTTTGAATTTGCACCTCGAAACAATCAATTATTGAGGTCACTTTTAATAAGTTACTGTTTACCACATGAGTAATGATGAAATTAGTTGGTATATGGAGCTACTTACATCAAAATGATCCTCGCAACAATATCTTACAGTGTGGCACGAAAGCGGAACTTTGTCATCCCTCTTCATGACAGTACACCATTTTTTGCGCACTTTCAGGTGCCTTGGCACATTAAAAAACAGTTTTTCAGGCGCACTAGTTGAAATATTAGTACATTTCGGTACTATACAGTACTTATAATGCGGCATATTTTCACATAAAAACTACAACACGACCCGCGCAGATCGAGTAAACTTTAATAAATGAAAGGCGGAGAGCGAGAGCGCGGGCGGTAGGGATCTCGTGACGTCACATGAGCATTTCGGCCGCCCCGCGGTTGGCTTGCACAAAATGTGTAATATCTTCGCAACCAATTTACCGATTTCAATGATTTAAAAAGTATTGTACCTAATCGAGGAAAAGGAATACTATTATATAGATAATATATGCATTTTCCGACTTGATACGGGGACCCATTGCAACAACTTTATACTAATGGGTTATTATAATATTTTAATTGACAGTCGACGCATTTTAAACTGAGTCTTCGGGCAAATAAATGTCACTGACAGTAGGAATGTGCACGAAATGCAACCCGTTAATGTTATCGATACTTACTACTTAGCTACATGCGCACGCGGAGTCGACGTGACGCGTAAGAGATCAAACACCACCTCTGATAATTAACCTACAGGAACATGACACAGGTGGGGAAGATGCTTTAGAATAGGACAGCTATGCAACACCAATACTACCTTCAGAAATAACGAATGAAATATGAATTATTTAATTTTACCACAGAGGAAAGAAGAAGACAATGAAAACTAATTTAAACCATACTTGATTTCACTGAAAACCAATATAGAAAATCCTAATCCATAATAAGTCCGACTAACATATACATACTTATTCTGTAAAATGTATACGTATCTTTTTTACATTTGTTAAAAACGTATGTAATAAATAATTTTTGACTTAAAAATAGTTATTAATTTTATTGGTGCAAAAGGGCCAATACTAGATTGGAAGAAAACATTCAAAACAACCTAGCCTTGAACCTACATAGAATAACACATGTCTAACATTATTTCGATACCTCCTAAGTATACTGAGTCAACTAACATTTTAGTAATTTTATAGGAGAGCCATTTTAAGGCAAATTGTTTATATTTTAATGAAATAAAACTAATTCGGAATAAATTAAATGTTTTTTTAATAAAGATTGAAAGCTCTTCCTTTGGAATAACATGATTTTGCTGAATTTTGTTTTTAAATGATATTTTATGTACATGACTCATTATACACGGGCGGGACTCAATAGTAAAATGGTTTAACTACCAG